GCAGTAAGCCAAGACCATGCCATTGCACTCCAGCCTGGGTGACAAAGTGAGACTCCGTCTCAAAAGAAAAAAAAGTGGATTAAATTAGATTATCACAAATAAATTAAATACATTCTTCCTTTTTTATGTAACAGGAGAATAATTTCTCATAAGTTACCTTATATAGAGCAATAAGCTCACTAAAAGGAAGAAAACAATGTGATATAGTATTTAAATCTCAAATCATAACTTGGAAATCCCATTTTTAATAAAGAGAAAGTACAGTTCCAGTTGAAATTATTTTTTTAACTGTATAACCTACTGATTTTTTTTTTCATGCTGTATCTTTTTATCCTGAACAGAGATTTGAAATTGGATAACTTATTGCTAGATACAGAGGGCTTTGTGAAAATTGCTGATTTTGGTCTTTGCAAAGAAGGTAATCGAATGTTTTTAAGTTTCTTTTCTGATAAATTACTGTTTCTTTGTGCATCAGTAGTTTTCAAGTTTGTCTATGGAAAACAAACTGTACTTTTAACTTTATTCTTCATTAAGACATTGTAGATATAATGAGGATATTGCCTATATAACCTAATTATCACATTAAGAATTTGTTCTATGAATACGAATAAGGTTAGATGTATAGAAATCATAGTAAGCTTCTCTGCGTGATTAATAATTTTGTCACTACTTTAAGGAAGTATTGCTTAAGCACCAAAATCATTTATTCCAGTGAGACTGTACACAGTGAATTTCATAGGCGTGATAATTTACTTCCAGCTTCTTAAAACTGGAAACATTTAAAAATAGAAAATAAATTGAGATAGGTATCTCAAGTATGTTTTTTGTATATTCAAAAGTAAGTAAGTAAATTGGGGAAATTTGAATCAGGTAACATAAGAAAGGATAAAGATCATGGGCTTAGGAACCAAACAGTTCTAGGTTGGAATCATGGCTTTGCCACTATTTGCTGTTTGTCTTTGGAAAACTTAGTTTTAATCTCTTTGAGTCTTACTTCTCCAACCATAAAAAAATGGACATGGTTCTTTCTGTTTACTAGTACTAACATTGCCTATCTCCCTCTGCACTGCTGGCTTCTGTTTGCTGTTTAGCTTTGTTTCCATAGTACATTAACACAGGGAATGGTACATCTTAAGTATTCAGTGAGTGTTTGATTAATAAGTAGCTGGATGAATAAATGAATGAACTCTGTAGATATATGCCCATCACATACCCACTGACATAATTGCTGAATCAAGTCAGTTTTTTTCTTTAACTGGGCTTCTTTTTATTGGACACTGTTGATCTAAACGCTTTTGTTTCTCGGCATCTCTCCTTAGCCGGCTGCTCTTCACTGCAGTTTTTTGACTAGCAGCTATATCCTAATGACTCTCAAATCTATTATTTCCTTTCATATGGATTCCAAAGGTATATATTCAACTATCTACTAGACAGCTCTGCCTGAACAGTGAAGAGACACCTCAAACACTACCCAAACAAAAATCACTTATTTTCCTCAGGTAGTCTGGTTGTTGGTACCACAATCCCCTTAGTCTTCAATCTGAAAGCAAGGAATTATCTTGCGTTCTATCCATATGTAGTTATTCAAAAAATTCTACTGCCACTTAACCTCCTGAATATTTCTGAAATCTATCATTTCCAGTCAACTCCTGGTAGCCATCATCTTGTTTTGACAAGACAGGTATAATAATCTCCTAATTGTTCCTATTTCTAGTCTTTTTCTATCCCAAATCAACCTGCCATGTAATTGCTGAATTGTTTAAGGAGTCCATATAAATACAGATCGGACTATGGCACACACCTGCTGAAAACTCTTCAGTGGCTAGGATAAGGTGACATAGAGTGCCCTTCCTGATCTGCCTGCCTGCCTTCCTCTCTGGCCTCATCTCTTGCTGCTCTGTGTTTAGTACTTTTTGCTCCAGCAACAATGAATTGCTTATAGTCTGTGTCCCTCTAGCACTGTCACCCATCCCAACTCTATTTGCTGACTAACATCTGCACATCCTTCTCATTCAACTCAAGTGTAACCTCTACAGGCAAATTACCAGAGATTGCCTTTTACTACCCCAACTCCCAACTCTGCTTTAGGAGCCCTTCTTCACTATTCTGCATTATCTTGCTCTTCCCTTGTTATTATAAAATTATCAATAAATATCCATTTTCCTCCAGTCTCCTGTAAACCCCTTAAAGAACCGTGTCTAACTCTCATTTTTGTGTTCCCGCTACTTGGCACAGGTGCCTAGAACATAAAAGGTACAGAAAATATGTGTGTTGAATAACCAGACTTATTAATGCATTATCATAAAAACATATTTAGTAGATTATAATAATATAGCTAACAACTTTTGAGTGCTTACCGTATGCCAAGAATTTTGCAAAATGCTTCATCATATGCATATCTCCTGTAATTCATAACAATCATATGAAGGTAGATAGTTTTTTTGAAGGAAATGTTTAATTTTTTATTTTATTTTTATTTGTATAAATTTATGGGGTACAAGTGCAATTTTGTTACATGCATAAATTGCGTAGTGGTGAAATCAGGGCTTTTAGGATATTCATCACCCAAATAACATACACTGTACCCATTAAGTAATTTCTCATCATCCACCCCACTCCCACCTCCTTACCCTTCTGAGTCTTCCTTGTCTTATCATTCCACACTGGTAGATGGTATTATTAACCCTTATATACAGATGAAGAAACCTAGGCTTTGATGTTAGACAACTTTCTCAACCTCTCACAGTTAACAAATGACAGAACTGGAACTTAAACCAGGTATTTATTAATCTAGAGCCTGATATTAACCACTTCCATGGAGCTTTACCAGTCTGTAAGAAACATAAGTTCTATTTCTTTGTTAATTAACTTTTTCCTAGTTTTGGCCAAGTTACTAAAAGGCTGGTGCAGAACTCATATAGATATTAATACTATATCACTGTTTTTTAAAATAATATTTTATTGAAGAAAATAAAAATCATTATGATAGTGTTAAAGAAATTTTGCCAAAAAAAATTTCCCCACTCCAGTGTGCTAATGTATCTAATTGTGCCCTTCAATTCTTGGTTCCTAGACATACAAATTCATTTCTATTTTGTAGTCTCTATATATGCATACCTAATTATTCTTAATTTAGAATTGAGAGCTTTTCTTTAAAATTCTTAATGCTTGTAATCCCAGCACTTTGGGAGGCCAAGGCAGGCGGATCACGAGGTCAGGAGATCGAGACCATCCTGGCTTATACGGTGAAACCCCATCTCAACTGAAAATATAAAAAATTAGCTGGGTGTAGTAGCAGGCACCTGTAGTCCCAGCTACTCGGGAGGCTGAGGCAGAAGAATGGCGTGAACCCGGGAGGCAGAGCTTGCAGTGAGCTGAGATCGCATCACTGTACTCCAGCCTGGGCAACAGAGTGAGACTCCGTCTCAAAGAAAAAAAGATGACACTTATGACAAGTTTTTAACACTTTGGAATACATGGAGACAGTATCTTCAATATGTAGACCATTTGATTAACGTATTAATAAATTATGAGGAACATATATTTAAAAACTAGTTAGCTAAAATGTTAATACAGGCTGAGTATCCCTTATCCAAAATGCTTAGAATGAGAAGTGTTTTGAATTTCAGATTTATTTGCTCCCTTCCTTCCCTTCTTGTCATTATTAATAGATAGAGAGATATTTTTGTTTTTTGAGACGAGAGGTTTTGCGTGCTCACCCAGGCTGGAGTGCAATGGCACAATCTCGGACTCACTGCAACCCCGCCTCCCACGGTCAAGCGAGGTTCTCCTGCCTCAGCCTGCCAAGGTAGCAGAGACCAGCAGGAGCGCACCGATTTCCGCTAGCTAATTTTTTTGTTTTTGTTTTTTTTTTTTTTAGAGCACGGTTGTGACACATGGGTAGGCCAGGCTGGTCTTGAACTCCTGACCCCAGGTGATCACCCACCTCAGCCTCCCAAAATGCTGTGATTACAAGCATGAGCCACCCTCACAG